AGAGCTTATAACCTCCACAAAAATTAACTCAAAATGGGTCATACTCCCAAATGTAAAACACCAAACTATAAAACTCCTAGATTATAACGTAGGAGAAAATCTAGATGACCTTGGATAGGGCAATGGCTTTTTAGGTACAACACCAAAGACATGACCCGTGAAAGAAAAAAATGAGAAGTTGCACTTCATTAAAATTAAAAACTCCTACTCTGTGAAAGGCACTGTCAAGAGGATGAGAAGACAAGCCACAGATTGGGAGAAAATACTTGCAAAAAAACATATCTGATACAGGACTGTTATGTAAAATATACCAAGAACTGTTAATACTCAGCAATAAGAAAATGAACAACCTGATTTAAAAAATGGTCAAAAGACCTAAATAGACACCTCACCAAAGAAGATATACAGATAGTAAATAAACATATGAAAACAGGCTCAACATCATATGTTATTGGGGAATGCTAATTACAATGAGACACTACAACATACCTATTAGAATGGTTATAATCCAACACCAATTGCTGGTAAGGATGTGAAACAACAGGAACTCTCATTCATTGCTGACGGGAATAAAAAATGGTATAGCTATTTTGGAAGACAGTTTAGTAATTTCTTACAAAACTAAACAAACTCTCACCATACAATCCATCAGTCATGCTCATGAATGTTTACAGCAGTTTTATTCACAGTTGCCAAAACTTGGAAGCCACCAAAATATCTTTCAATAGGTAAATGAACAAACAAACTGAGGTACATTTAAACTATAAAATATTATTCCACAGTAAAAAGAAATGAGCTATGAAGCCACAAAAAGAAACAGAGGAACCTTGAATGCATATTGGTAAGTGAAAGAAGTCGACCTGAAAAGCCTATGTGTTGTATAATTCCAGCCACATGAAATCTCGGAAAAGGTAAAACTATGGAGTCAAAGGTCAGTGGTTGTCACAGGTTTGGGGGGAGGAAGGAATGAATAGGTGGAACATAGAGCAGTAAATAGGGCAATAAAACTATTCTGCATGATACTGTAATGGTGGACACGTGTAATGATACATTTGTCAAAACCTGTAGCATGCACCTCACAAAGTGTGAACCCCAATTTAAACTATGGACTCCAGTTGATAATGATGTGGCAATGCTGGTTCATCAATTGTACCAAATGTACCACGCTTGCGAGAGATGTGGATGGTGGGGGAGGCTGTGTATTGTGGGGAGAGGAAGGCGGCCATACGGGAACTCTCTGTACTTTCCGCTCAATTTTGCTGTGACCCTGACACTGCTCTGAAAAATAAAGTCTATTGAGAAATATGCGCAACGTTCATCATCCAAATATCTTGTTTAGGCTCCAGCAGGTGCAGGAACCGCCAGACAGAGCATACCCCATGTCAGCAGTTGAGAGCACAAAACGGAGAAGGTTACCTTAGAGCACTTCCTCAGAGGCCAAAGGGGACTTTCTTCTTTGCTTATTTTTACAACTGGTGGAAGAAAACGTTTAGTTCCTTGGAGGCCCAGGGACAGTCAAATGAGGCAGCTGTGGGCCAGCTTTCCGAGAAGCCTTACAAAAGCATGGCAGCATCCAGACTTCCTGTTCCCAGGGCTGCCATCAACATCATGCCATTGCCAAGGAAGCCAGATGGAGGACAGATCAGCTGGCACCCGGCGTCGGGCCATTTCCCTATTTGGTCGTTCACCTGCCCCAGCCCACTGTTGATGTGTTCCTGTTTTGGTTGTATCTTTTAAGATTTTCCAGAGCGCTTGTCACACACAACAAGAAAACATGCTGTCCCATTCCCTCTCCAACTCTCTCTAGGTCAGTGGTTCTCAACCTAGGCTACACATTGAAATCATCTGGGGAGGCTGAAAAGGCTGACACTACCTGGGCCCCACCTGCTGAGATCCTAATTTGATTGGTGTGGCAGTGGGTTCCCACGTGATTCTAATTTGCAGTCAAGGTTGTAAATTACTAGTCTCAGCGGGTCCGTGGGGTTTACACAGACTCCTACACTCCACCCAGCCATAGGAAGGGGGTTGTTTCTGGTTTCAGAGACATTCTTCCATGCCCCATCCCATCCCCAGCACACACAACAAGGCTCTAGGAAACATTCTTTCAGTTGATGTATTCACTAATCGTCATGGATATGTATTGAGCACCTACTACGTGTAAGCTAGATGCTGGGAAACTACATACACTTCCCTCAAAGAGCTCAGTATAAAAACATCATCAACCTAAAGACCTCTTATACAAAGGATTAAGTTCTAGGGTCACTATTTAAGGTGACAGTTTGTAGAGATTCAATTTGACAAGTCTCTGCCCTGGCTCAGGGCTCTGTCAGCCAGAAGGAGGAGGAGGCCTGTTTGTAATTCACCCAAGGTACCACACATGCTAGCTGGGGTGCTGGCCTCAAGCAGAAGGACCTGAGTCAGGCACTAGCACCATGCCTGGTGCATGGGAGGTACTCTGTATTATTCATTGAGCGACTACAATGGGCTGCACAGAAGCGTTCATAAGAGGGATTAATTCTGTCTACAGGGATGAGGTTGAGAAAGTATGAAGAGGTAACAGTTGAGCTGAACCTTGAGGAACGGCATGCCTGGTGGGGAGACAGGAGACAAGCATCCCCCAAGATGGGTTGAACTACGGAGTGGAGAGTGGGTATCTGAGGCATTTATATCTGCCGGAGCACCGCACGGAGGGGCTGTATGAAGCAAGCAGACAAGGGAGAAGTTGTGAAGGGCTTATGATGGAGTAGGGACTTGTACCCACTGGGGAGCAGTGGGAGGATTTTCATCTCACATGTAGCACAATCAGACCTTGGTTTCTTCGATTACACTGGTAGCCATGTGGAAAAGAACGTAACCAAAGACTCCAACTCAGTTGCAAAGGCCCTTAAGAGCCTTGAGAATTCCCAAGGGAAATTTAAAGTTAGATCCCCAGGAATTCTCAGGATTCGACTCTTCCTCCCTCAGCCTCCATACACCCTGCTCACACTCTACACCAAGGCTACTAAAGGCTCCATCTGGGTTTTTGTTGGCTATTAGTACCTTTGCAGTGGGTGCAGCAATGGCTTTGTCTATACTTCTTCAGATGATCTGAGGTGATCAAGAGTCAAAGAAGAAACAGTCTTGAGAGGATTTGTATCCTGAGACTTCCCCCATCAAAGCTGTCCACAACCAACTGACAGAAGACCTTGACCAGAGGGAGAACAAATGATAAATTTTGACGAGTATTCCATTCCTCCTAGAGAGCACTATGAATCTTGAAGAAACACTTCTGCAAAACCAGAGAGAAAATATGCTACCCTACATTTCTTAGGGTGTTCCTATATTTTAGGGACTCAAGAGCGAGCAATTTCTTTTACCCTCAAAAGCCCATCAGATACCCACACAGTCTAAATATAAAGTTGTCATGTTCATTTCATGAAATGTACTGCTCACATAAGTAGAAATGGAGGATTATTGCATGCTCTTCTTTCTACGTATTCTTTCATGAATTCTGAATGTTTTTGTTGAAATGTAAATTTTTAGTAGCTTATCTTCTGTAATTTAAACCAACAAAAAATAAACTCCTAGGGCCCACCTCTCTTACTGAATCAGAATCTCTAGGAGCAGAGCCCAGGAATCTGTATTCTAAGGAGCTCCCAGTTGATCTAACTCATTGCCTCCCTGACTTCAGGCATCTACATAACCTTTGCCATAGTCACAGTGCCCTTTTGCTATTGTTCACTCAAGTTGTTTTAGGTCAACTTTAAAATTGTATTCATCCTAAATAATATCCATTAAATCACGGTTTTGATGCATCGTGTTCTAAAAATGTACATTAAAACACCTAACTATTTAAAAAACCCATTGTGGACTAGCTGAAAGCAGCCCCTGCTCCGCCCCACTAATTCAAACTAATTAGAAAGAGTGGGTTCAGCTGCGTCCGGGCCCATGTGATTCAAACTTTGGAGTCTCTTCTTCCAGGACCCCTCTTCCTAGGCATGGGTGCCCTCACACAGCCCTGTGGAAAGCCCCTCACTGCCAGGACGCACCCCTGTCCTTCCCCCAGGTACCCGCTCCTGTCGCTCCAACCAAACTGGCTTTTTATATCTGAACTTCGGACGGTATCACTACAGCACGTTAATAAATGTTAAAATAAAATTTGCAGGTTCAACCCCTAGTAGCAAAAGTGCTTTGTTTTCCAAGAATGGGATTCTTCTCAAACGGATATGTTCATACAGCCCTTTGCATCAGCACCTAAAAACGGCACCCGTTTCTCCAGCTTCATTTCTTTTCAATCTTCCTCACTCACTCTGCCTCAGCCACACTGGCTTTTTTTAGTCCTTGGAACACACCATACTTTCTCCCGCTTAACATACAAGCTTATTCCTACCTCAGGGCCTCTGCATTTGCTGGATTTCTTCACGTCACTGCCACCTACACATTCTTTCGGTTTCAACTCAAACGTCACTGCTTTCCCAGAGGCAGCTCCTGACCAACTCAGCAAAAGTTACACCAATTCCCCACAAGCGCTCCCCTCCAGGCATCCTCTATCACAGCTGTTTTCAACCAAGGGTATTATTGCCTCTCAGGAGACGTTGGTAATGTCTACAGACATTTGCAGTTGTCACCACCTGGGGGGCACAAATGTTCTCTAGTGAGTAGAGGCCAGGGATGCTGATACACAATCATATAATGCACAGTACAGCTCCCTACCACAAAGGGTTATCTGGCCCCAGATGCCATGTTTGAGAAGTTCAGCTCTACCGGTGTATATCTTTTTTTCCTTATCATTACCAGCACCTGAATTGATGGTGTGGGGTTTTCTTTCCTACTGAATTGGAGCTCCTTGGGAACTGGAGTTCAGCGCTGTTCTCTGTTCCACCCACAGCACCTAGAGGAATGTCAGGCACACCTGACTCTCAAATCTTGCCCCATTTGCCCTTGTCCTGAGAGTCCACAGCAAGTTGAAGATGGCTGGCCTTGACTAAATGATGAGAATAAGAAAACAAGTCAATTTCCAAAATGAAAACAAAAATGTGTTTTATTAATGAGTGTAGGTACAAATCAAGCTCATGATGAGGAGTCCCTCATACCTGCATGTACTCACAAAATTATCTTCACAGCCATCAATGAAAGATTGGTTCCTCTACTTTTAAAGATGTGCAGAATTTCCTAAGTTCAAATATATAGCTTTAATTATACCAGTGTCCTAAAGCCGCAAGATCGATTGTAGAAAATGGAATCTCGATGGTCTCAAAAGATCAAAAACAAAAGTAAATTCATTATATAAAATTGGTACTTTTACAGAAAAGAATTTAATATTAACTAAGTACCTCCCCTTCCTTCCCTCTAACCCATGCTCCCTCTCAGTTATTGACAAATTTTTGTACAGTTTAAAATGATAGCCAAATTACCCAATATCAACTTTTCAAAAACAGAAACATTATTCAGAAAAATAATAAAAGGTACCATATAGCAAGACACTTATGAATGCAACACCGTTGAAATTATTCACTGAGCACTGATGCTAGATCTATCACTGCCAACTCCACACACACACAAAAGAAACCTTTGCATTTCTGTAGTGTTTTTCACTTTTATTTTTCTCACAAAGAATATGTCATTGGAATTACCACTATACACCAATGTATGTTTGGAAATAATTCTAAGAGGTGTAAAAAAAATTTAGCACAACATTGTAAATCATCTCTACTTCATTAAAAAATATATTAAAAACTTAGGCATAAAGAATGATTTATCCTAATGTCATCCAATGTTACTGGTAAGAGTTAGGATTAGAACTCAGGTCCTATCTCTAATTCTGTGTACCATCTGCTTTCTCCCAGGTTCCCCATCTTGTTTCACAGAATGCTACTGGGTATGCCAGTAGTCATGGTGCTCAGGGATTTTAAACAAATTTTGGAAATGCTGGATTGAATAAAGTCGATCAAATTCCCACAACCTGTAATGTGTCATCACAAAAACTCCAGGAAGGATATGGAGAATAGAGCACGCATCAAAAAATTCAAAGCCCCACAAGCCACAAAGCAGGTAACAAACGTGAGCCTGCAGGCAAGGCAAGGACTGGGGCGGGGCTGAGGGATGTGGCGCCATCTAGTGGGGCCCTGGCTGCATAGGGATGCAGCCCGATGTTGTTAGGTCTTTCCAGAGAAGTTATCCATCTTGACATTAATTTGAAATCACTATGGTTATGCATGTTGTCTTGAATTAAAAAAAAAATATCCCTGTAGTTGGAACATAATTTTTTAAACTAGATCAGTCTGGTCCCACTTGTGAAAACTAGTATACAATGTTTAGCAATCTTCTTTGCCCCATAACCTTTATTCAGAGGTCCTGTTAATTTCCCAGAACTCCGCAGAAGTGTCAAAAACATTGCCTTCAAAAACGAGCATCCAGCCCTCATGGACCACTTTGGTGTGAGTAGCTCTGAACACCTCCCAAATAACTCAAGCATGAGTTGTTTCAGGGTTTGCTTAAATTGAAATTAATTTCCAGTCTTGTTAACTGTTCATGTAGAAATGCTCCTAGTGACTAAAAATATCCTTACTGTTAGCCTTTCTCTAACTCTTCTGGAAAAACCAAAAATTTAATTGAGCTGTGAAAAAGATATAACACAGGAATTGATTCAATATGAAAAAGACACTTTATCCTTCCAAAACAATTTTAAAAATCAAAGTGGTTTGAGGACAATTTAGCATTTCGGTTGAAACTGGTAATACTCTCAAACAACACTATTATATTTGCAAACTAGCTTTTCTAAGTCAGAAAGCCTCTTTTACTACTCCCTCCCCCTCTTTTTTCCTTTTATTTCCACCCTGCCTCATTCTAAAAATTACATCAGAGAGTCTGCCAGTTGTCTACATAAGTGCCTAGAACTGTGGCACCAATGTAGCAGAAACAGCATAAATCATGTGGCAATTGATTTTCTTCCCCTGGTGTCTCCATTGTCTACTCACTACGCTAGCTTCTTCTAACTGCTAAAATACCCATCCTGGTCCCAGGGAAAGCACTTCTATTTCCAGAGCCCTGAGAAACCAGATCTACCTATAATGGCAAAATCACACTCACATTTTCCCATTGTGTAAATAAAAACCTGTACACTCCCATGATTTGAAACCCTTGGGGGCCCTAAGGAATATAACATTTGAAGTTACTTGATTAAAAAAAAAAAGACAATCATGAAATGCTTCCAAGTTAAGTCCTTTAAGTCCCAAATTGGATTTGCTGATTTTAAGTGGTATTCAGCTCTTCTTGACAGCTTTGGTAACTGAGGTAGTAGTGTTTATTCTGTCTCCTCAAGGAGAATTCTTGATAGAAAACAGGATTCACAGGGTCTAAAGAGAATGTACAATTCTAAGGAATAAATTTCATGTTTTGGAGAGAGCTCTGCAATGACCAGAAAGATTGAGCCAGTTTTAGTATAAAAAATTAGGACAATGTTACAGAGGTTGACGGTACACAGATGAGCTAGACTTACTCTACCCAATATCACCGACTGGTTGGAATGCCATTGGAAACTGACGGAAAAATTGTCCTGCTTCATGAAAGGACTCTGGCACAGTGATATCTGGTCACTGTCTTCCACAGTCAAGGGCATAACGCCTTAGAAGGCCACTGGATCCATGACTTAATGAAGGTCATCAATAATGTAGATATTGTCTTCTGCTCGGACAGGCTTCAGAGCTGCATTTTTCAAAGCTCCAATGTGAGAGTCCCTCAACGGAATCACACTACAGAAAGAATAACATGAGTAAGAGAAAAGCAGACCACTTCTCAAGTATGAGCAGTGCATTTGTTTATGTTCAAGCAAGAATGGGTATTTGCATTTCCCAGAACCCCATTCACACAGCCTATGAAATAAATAGAAGCTTTCAGAGTTGTGAATATGAAATTTCAGGAAAGTCTGTTTAATAAGCAGGTAGAAAACCTCAGCAGTAGTTTCAAAAACCTCAGACTGGTCTCCTTCTAGAGTCTCATGTAACAGAATACAAAAATTGAAAATCTAGGGACTTCCCTGATGGTCCAGTGGTAAAGAATCTGCCTTCCAATGCAGGGGATGCAGGTTTGATCCCTGGTCGGGGAACTAGGATTGCACATGCCATGGGGCAACTAAGCCCGTGTGCCAGAACTACTGAGCTTGCAGACCTCAGTGAGAGAGCCCTCATGCTGCAAACTACAAAGCCCACACACTCTGGAGCCCACGTGCCACAACTAGAGAGAGAAAACCCGTACACCACAACTAGAAAGAAGCCCATGCACTGCAACAAAAGATCCCACATGCCTCAAAGAAGATCCCATGTGCCACAACTAAGACCCGATGCAGCCAAATAAATAAATAAATATTTTTAAAAAAAACAAAGAAAGAAAATCTAAGAAGACAAACATCAGACATCAAATTGAAGTACTAAACCAGTATACATATTCTCAAAGATGGCTAGGAAATGGTTTGGCTAGTGTTTTTCCAACTGTGGACTGTGACCCTTTAGAGAGGGTTATTAAATCTATTTAGTGCTCTATATCCTGTTTTTAAGATAAATATATATAAGTATACAAAATATCAGAGCATACTGGTATAGTAAAATAGTATTGTTTCATCAAAGTGTATACTAGATCATGGAGTCAAAAATCTTACCATGCCTTAATGGTCAAAATTAGAAAGCCATGGGTTAAATGACTTTTATAACACATATGCTCACACATCAATATGAATAGGTCATTTGTGGAGTTTTGATATTGCTACTCTTTTATAATTTGTAGTGTATACAGTTACTACTTTTTATTAGTTAAGCCTGCCCAGAAATGATATGAAATGTACTACATCTTCATTCAGCTCTGATCTTTAAACGGATTAGTCACACATGTGTGGAAACCGTTTAGGTGTCAGCAGCTCAAAATGAATCAATGTGATATAGGTGCACCAAAAATAACTTCATGGGGAAATGCTCAGTTTTGGTTTTGTTTTGCTTTGCTTTGCTGTATTATACAGTATTTCCTACAATGAATATTTTCTTTTCTAATTAGATGACAAAAAGTGAAACTTTAAAAAAACATTAACAGCAAAAGGACAAAAATAAACTAAAAGGATGCTATCTTTCATGCTTTTCTGCCTGTAGGGAGTATTTTTTTTCTTCCATTCCTGGAAGCAGATAGTCAAAAATTTCTATAAGTATAGGTTTTGGACTCTAAGAGACATAAGACTGAGTCTTTTACCTGCTGTGGGGTGTGACCTTGGATGTTGCTTAACATCTCTAAACCTGTTTTCCAATCTGTAGACTAAGAATAATAATAGTGCCTATGAAGGGTTTACAGGTTCACTGCTGTGAAGGGCATGACTGCAATAATAAAAGCCAATGTTTATGGAACACTTGCAATATGTTTGGCATAGTTCAAGGCATGTTCTGTGGATTGGCTCATATGATTAACTCAGACATAGGAAAGACTATGTAATAACATCCAATGAAAGAGAACTAGGAATAACATCTGGCAGCTTAAGAGGGATGGATTTGGAATCGAAGAAAGACCTGTTTAAAGCCCAAGCTGGACAATCACAGAAAGACAGACAAAATGAAAAGGCAGAGGACCATGTCCCAGATGAAGGAACAAAATAAAACCCCAGAAAAACAACTAAATGAAGTGGAGATAGGCAACCTTCCAGAAAAAGAATTCAGAATAATGATAGTGAAGGTGATCCATGACCTCAGAAAAAGAATGGAGGCAAAGGTCAAGAAGATGCAACAAATGTTTACCAAAGGCCTAGAAGAATTAAAGAACAAACAAACAGAGATGAATAATACAATAATTGTAATGAAAAATACACTAGAAGGAATCAATAGCAGAATAACTGATGCAGAAGAACGGATAAGTGACCTGGAAGACAGAATGGTGGAAATCACTGCTGTGGAACAGAATAAAGAAAAAAGAATGAAAATAAATGAAGACAGTCTAAGAGATTCTCTGGGACAATATTAAATGCAACAGCATTTGGATTATAGGGGTCCCAGAAGGAGAAGAGAGAGAGAAAGGACCAGAGAAAATATTTCAAGAGATTATAGTTGAAAATATCCCTAACATGGGAAAGGAAATAGCCACCCAAGTCCAGGAAGTGCAGCGAGTCCCATACAGGATAAACACAAGGAGAAACACACCAAGATACATAGTAATGAAATTGGCAAAAAGTAAAGACAAAGAAAAATTATTGAAAGCCACAAGGGAAAAACGACAAATAACATACAAGGGAACTCCCATAAGGTTAACAGCTGATTTCTCAACAGAAACTCTACAAGCCAGAAGGGAGTGGCATGATATACTTAAAGCGATGAAAGGGAAAAACCTACAACCAAGATTACTTTACCCAGCAAGGATCTCATTCAGATTTGATGGAGAAATCAAAACCTTTACAGACAAGCAAAAGCTAAGAGAATTCAGCAACACCAAACCAGCTCTACAACAAATGCTAAAGGTACTTCTCTAATTGGGGAACACAAGAGAATGAAAGGACCTACAAAAACAAACTCAAAACAATTAAAAAAATGGTCATAAGAACATACATATTGATAATCATCTTAAATGTGAATGGATTAAATGCTCCAACCAAAAGACACAGGTTCACTGAATGGATACAAAAACAAGACCCATATATATGCCGTCTACAAGAGATCTACTTCAGACCTAGGGACACATACAGACTGAAAGTGAGGGGATGGAAAAAGATATTCCATGCAAATGGAAATCAGAAGAAAGCTGAAAAAAAAAAAAAAAAAGAAAGCTGGAGTAGCAATACTCATATCAGATAAAATAGACTTTAAAATAAAGAATGTTACAAGAGACAAGGAAGGACACTACCTAATGATCAAGGGATCAATCCAAGAAGAAGATACAGCAATTATAAATATCTATGTACCCAACATAGGAGCACCTCAATATGTAAGGCAAATGCTGACAGCTATAAAAGAGGAAATTGACAGTAACACAATAATAGTGGGGGACTTTAACACCTCACTTACACCAATGGACAGAACATCCAGACAGAAAATTAATAAGGAAACACAAGCTTTAAATGACACAATAGACCAGATAGATTTAATTGATGTTTATAGGACATTCCATCCAAAAACACCATATTACACTTTCTCCTCAAGTGCACATGGAACATTCTCCAGGATAGATCACATCTTAGGTCACAAATCAAGCCTGGGTAAATTTAAAGAAATTGAAATTGTATCAAGCATCTTTTCCAACCACAACACTATGATATTAGAAATAAATTACAGGAAAAAAATGTAAAAAACACAAACACATGGAAGCCAAACAATATGCTACTAAATAACCAAGAGATCACTGAAGAAATCAAAGCAGAAATCAAAAAATACCTAGAGACAAATGACAACAAAAACACGATGATCCAAAATCTATGGGATGCAGCAAAAGCAGTTCTAAGAGGGAAGTTTATAGCAATACAACCCTACCTCAAGAAAAATCTCAAATAAACAATTTAAACTTACACCTAAAGGAACTTGAAAAAGAAGAACAAACAAAACCCAAAGTTAGTAGAAGGAAAGAAATCATAAACATTAGAGCAGAAAAAAATGAAATAGAAACAAAGGAAAAAATAGCAAAGATCAATAAAACTAAAAGCTGGTTCTCTGAGAAGATAAATAAACCTTTAGGCAAACTCATCAAGAAAAAGACTGAAAGGACTGAAATCAATAAAATTAGAAAAGAAAAAGGAGAAGTTACAACAGACACCGCAGAAATACAAATTAGCATAAGAAACTACTACAACAAACTCTATGCCAATAAAATGGATAACCTGGAAGAAATGGACAAATCCTTAGAAAGGTATAACCTTCCAAGACTTAACCTGGAAGAAATAGAAAATATGAACAGACCAATCACAAGTAATGAAATTGAAACTGTGATTAAAAACCTTCCAACAAATAGAAGTCCAGGACCACATGGCTTCACAGGTGAATTCCATCAAACATTTAGAGAAGAGCTAACATCCACCCTTCTCAAACTCCTCCAAAAAATTGCAGAGGAAGGAACACTCACAAACTCATTCTACGAGGCCACCATCACCCTGATACCAAAACCAGACAAAGACACTACAAAAAAAGAAAATTACAGACCAATATCATTGATGAATATAGATGCAAAAAATCCTCAATAAAATACTAGCAAACAGAATGCAACAACACATTAAAAGGATCATACACCATGACCACATGGGATTTATCCCAGGAATGCAAGGATTCTTCAATATATGCAAATCAATCAATGTGATACACCACATTAACAAATTGCAGAATAAGAACCATGTGATCATCTCAATAGACGCAGAAAGAGCTTCTGACAAAATTCCACACCTGTGTATGATAAAAACCCTCTAGAAAGTGGGCATAGAGAGAAGGTACCTCAACATAATAAAGGCCATATACCACAAACCCACAGCAACATCATTCTCAATGGTGAAAAACTGAAAGCATTTCCTCTAAGATCAGGAATAAGACAAGGATGTCCAGTCTTGCCACTATTATTCAACATAGTTTTGGAAGTCTTAGCCACAGCAATCAGAGAAGAAAAAGAAATAAGAGGAATACGAATTGGAAAAGAAGAAGTAAAACTGTCAGTGCTGGCAGATGACATGATACTATACATAGAAAATCCTAAAGATGCAAAGTAATCCTTATCAAATTACCAATGGCAATTTTTAAAGAACAAGAAAACTACTAGAGCTAACCAATGAATTTGGTAAAGTTGCAGGATACAAAATTAATGCAAAGAAATCTCTTGCATTCCTATACACTAACCACGAAAGATCAGAAAGAGAAATTAAGGAAACAATCCCATTCACCATTGCAACAAAAAGAATAAAATACCTAGGAATAAACCTGCGTAAGAAGGTAAAAGACCTGTACTCAGAAAACTGTAAGACATTGATGAAAGAAATCAAAGATGACACAAACAGATGGAGAGATATACCATGTTCTTGGATTGGAAGAATCAATATTGTGAAAATGACTATACTACCCAAAGCAATCTACAGATTCAATGTAATACTTATCAAATTACCAATGTCATTTTTTACAGAACTAGAACAAAAAATCTTGAAATTTGTATGGAGACACAAAAGACTCCAAATAGCCAAAGCAATCTTGAGAAAAAAAAAAAAACCAAAAACAGATCTGGAATCAGACTCCCTGACTTCAGACTATACTACAAAGCTGTAGTAATCAAGACAATATGGTCCTGGCACAAAAACAGAAATTTAGATCAATGGAACAGGATAGAAAGCCCAGAGATAATAAACTCATGCACCTATGGTCAACTAATCTATGACAAAGGAGACAAGGATATACAATGGAGAAAAGACTGTCTCTTCAATAAGTGGTGCTTGGAAAACTGGACAGCTACATGTAAAAAAATGAAATTAGAACACTCCCTAACACCATACACAAAAATAAACTCAAAATGGATTAGAGACCTAAATGTAAGACCGGACACTATAAAACTCTTAGAGGGAAACATAGGAAGAACATTCTTTGACATAAATCACAGCAAGATCTTTTCTCACCCACCTTCTAGAGTAATGGAAATAAAAACAAAAATAAACAAATGGTACCTAATGAAACTTAAAAGCTTTTGCACAGCAAAAGAAAGTATAAACATGATGAAAAGACAACCCTCAGAATGAGATAAATATTTGCAGACGAATCAACGGACAAAGAATTAATCTCCAAAATATATAAACGGCTCATGTACCTCAATATCTAAAAAACAAACAACCCAATCCAAAAGTGGGCAGAAGACCTAGGTAGACATTTCTCCAAAGAAGACATACAGATGGCCAAGAAGCACTTGAAAAGCTGCTCAACATCACTAATTATTAGAGAAATGCAAATCAAAACTACAATGAGGTATCACCTCACACCAGTTAGAACGGCCATCATCAGAAAATCTATATTACCATATGACCCAGCAATCCCACTACTGGGCACATGCCCAGAGAAAACCATCATTCAAAAAGACACGTGCACCCCAATATTCATTGCAGTGCTATTTACAATAGTCAGGTCATGGAAGCAACCTAAATGTCCATCGACAGATGAATGGATAAAGAAGATGTGGTACATATAGAGAATGGAATATTACTCAGCCATAAAAAGGAACGAAACTGGGTCATTTGTAGAGACATGGATGGACCTAGAGACTGTCATACAGAGTGAAGTAAGTCAGAAAGAGAAAAACAAATATCGTATATTAATGCATATATGTGGAATCTAGAAAAATGGTATAGATGAACCAGTTTGCAAGGCAGAAATACAGACACAGATGTAGAGAACAAACATATGAACACGAAGGGGGGAAAGTGGGGGCGGGGAGGGATGAATTGGGAGATTGGGATTAACATATATTCACCAATATGTATAAAATAGATAACTGATAAGAACCTGCTGTATAGCACAGGGAACTCCACTTCGCTGTACAGTAGAAACGAACACAACATTGTAAAACAACTATATCTCAAAAAAAAAAAGTCCAAGCTGGACCAAATGAAGCAGGCTATTTGGATTTGGAAGTAGGCAGATGTTTCCTACCATTACAGACAGGTGTTTGGGGAAATGACTACATGAATGCATATAAAGAGGATTTCACTTTCCCTGGGCAATGGGGTAGATTTGCAAAAAATTCAAGTGCTATGAGGCCCAACAACTAATGTAAAGGAACAGAGCAGGCTGGGCATGTAACAATGGGGATGGTGGGAAGGGTGGGGAGCTGGAAGCACGTGCCTTAGCCTGTGCCTTTGTATGTCTTCAGCCTGGAGTCATCTTCCTCCAGATCTTTGCAGAACTGCCTTCTGCTCCGTTGGGGCTCACTCACATAGCCTATTGCCTTGCTCTGTATTCCCCATGGCATTTCTGTGCAAATTCTAAAAATACCCTGCTTATTCATTTATACATTTCTGTCTGTTTTGTCCATCTCTTTGGAATTTAGTAGGCATTCAATAAACACTCAATAAACAAAGTTCTGAATGAAATCAAATAACAAACCAAACAACCCATTCAAATGTCCCATCAAACAAAATCTGCAATTTAGTTCTCTTGCTCTAGCGGTCAGGTTTGAGGTACTGTTTCTGGAGCAGTTCTGGCGCAATTCCAGGGAAATACAGAGATGCTAAAAATATCACTGGAAGGTTGGACGGCAATGGAGGTGTTCTATATACTAGATTTTTCAGGATCCAGAGTATAAAATGGAGAGTTCAGAAGGAAAAGAGAGGGAGAGAGAAATTATCCTTATTTTTACTAGAGTAAGAATATCAAAAAGCATTGACATAAACTTTCAACCTTACCGTAGTAGCTCCACCTTGCTACTCAGGCAAAAATATCCTAAATTGGGGAAGAAGTGAGAGAAAATTAAACATGTAAGACACAGAGTTCATGAGATTTTTTTTCCAAACAAGTATATTATTACTGTTATTACTTTGATATGAACAAAATCTGTACAGACCTCAGAAGCTGAAAAAATTAATTTACAAGAAAATATTTTTAAAAAGAAGGGGAAAAAAACCAATCTGGACCCTCACCTGATAACTCCAGGTAACTTTTTTTGAATCTAGGAGCCAAATAAGCCCCTTAGTGTAAAGTATCTCATGTTTACTAATAGTTTAGTGTATTCACCCACATGTCCCAACTTACTTTAATGCAATTATATTTCACCGTAAAAAAAATGGGGGATTGTGTTTCTTCCATAGGTGACAGGTTTTACACACACGCACAACTGGTGGAAGGAGACCAGGAGGCCCTGGATGGCTGCCTTGTGAACCCCTTTGTTCTACTCTTAGTCCTGAAATCATGTATCCCTCTCAATGTCCCATTTGCTTCTGTTAACTGGGTGTTGTAACACCCTCAACAATTTCACCCCCTATAGGGCCAAAACTTGGTTCTTGAGGGAAGGGGGAAAGGAGGAGTGAACACATCTTATATATTACAATGGTTTGCTGCCTTCCAAACCCCAACTCTACCCAATCAACACTTATTTCTCCATATTTAATTTCTCCTATGGAGAATTTAAATATCATGTTTCTCTCTATGGGACAATAATTTTAAGATAAAGAAAAAATAAAAAAGAACAAGGTAAAAACCAAGGCAGTTATGTGAAATTCAAATCATGTGGTGTGTAGGGCTACAGGCAGTTTGGCTCAAGAAAACTCCCGCAGGCACAGTCCTGAGGTGACTTACTTTTGCTAATCATGAAAACCAAAAATGTGAGCAATGATACCAAGGCAGTAACACAGACTCCAATGTAGACTCCCTTATTGGTGCTCATCCATGGATCTTGTGCCAGCGTCACAAGCTAAGGAAACATCAGCAGATCAAAAAAAAAAAAAAATCTTCTTAGAATTATGGGTAGAAAACATTTCTGAAAGTAATGTACACAGACACACTTATCTTTATTGGCCTTTGGCTAGTTCCGGATCATGAGGGGAAGACCAAATGATTTAAAGTTATAACCATGTGGTGAAATTCTAAGACAATTTAGAATTCAAAATGTATTTGGGGATGGTGGAAATGTTTTATCTCTTGCTTGCGGTGGTATTTACAGAGGTGTATACATTTGTCAAAACTCAAACTGTACACTTCAAATGAGTGTGCTTTATTATATGTAAATTATACCTATTTTTAAAAATTAATAAGCTATTTTCATAAATAATCCTCTTATGATATTAAAAAAGAAAACAACAATTTTTGTTCCTATATAAGTTGACATGGTGGTGTTAGCTCAAGCTATGTGAATGTGTTCAATTATTAAAATTGGCCCTTGATTACAAAACTTTTTTTTTAACTAGAATTCAAGGTTCCATCTATGTATTTATAAATGGACTTGAAAGTAGATGCTCATATACATGGTCCTGCTTAACAATTAAAATGTTGCACAACTGGAAAGAAATACAACTTTATTTAAATCTCCTAGTATGGTTCATAAGGGATCATCACCTCCCGGAATAAAACTGAAATACGCCATGCATCATGTTCAGCCCCTTTACATAACTTAACTCTAATCCTAAAGAGGCCCCATGGGGTAGGTATTTTAACAGAAAGGAAGTGAAGATCAGAGAAAAAGATTAAGTCTCAAATCTCTTCCTGCATAAGAGTTTAATCTCTGGAGTCAAAATTCCAGCTCTTTTACTTAGTTGCCGTGTGACCCTAGACATGTCATTTATCCTCTCTGAACCTCTGTTTCTCTGTCTGTCAAATGCAGATTAAATAGGGTTCTTGGGAAAGATAATTTAGGTACTTCCTGATCAACACTATGAGGAACACAAAGGATGGTGACTTACAATATGAGCTGTCCTTGCTTAAAGGGGGAACAGCCAGTGTCTTGGGAGGAAAAAGCTGTGTAATTACCTTACTTGTGGGGGGTAAAGGGGTTACATGGAACATGGAGTTACAGGAAGCAGGCTTTGCTTCCTTTTTAAAAATATTATGTTACATGAAAACTGCAGTTTCATTTTAGAATGTGCAGCTAAGCATAAAGAAAGGAAAACAAAAATCAACCATAATCCCAACATCCAGAAACAGCCACTATTACCATTTTTCATTACATACTCTTCTAGAATTTTATCCTAGTGTTTTTCTTAACAGAAGTAGTTACTATATTCAATATATACTACAGTATATACACTACACACACACACACACACACACACACACACACATACATTTTTTGGTCGTGCTGCACGGCATTTGGGATCTTAGCTCCCCAACCAGGGATCGAACCAGCACCCGCTTCATTGGAAGCACAGAGTCTTATTAACCACTGGCCTGCCAGGGAAGTCCCTACACTATTTTAAAAGTTAGTTTTTTCGTTTAACAATCAACACTGTCTTCTCATGTCAGTAAATGCACTGCAGTGACAACATGTTTAATGGCAATAAGCGGGCATGCTTAACTGACTAAGTAATTAATCCCTTATTATTGAACATTTAGGTTGTTTATAACATTTTCATGAGTACAAATAACAGCAATGAACATCTTTTCTTATACATCTTCACATATTTGTTCAATTCTCTCCCTAATATGGAGTTCAGGAAGTTGATTTACTGGGTCGAAATATATGCTGCTTGGTTTCAGGATACCTGGGAGACACCTTGACATCTTCAGAGTCAAGACACAAAAAGCCCACGATTTTGCCTGTTGTGAACTTGCTTCTACTTGCTGCTAAACATACCTGTCCTGCCGGTAACTGAGGTAAAGAACAATCTCATCGTTCAGAATGTTTGTTTCTTTTTTCTTAATCCAGCTATAACAATATAACAGTCATTTACGTTGTGGCAGTTCTGCTATTTAACAGGCATATACAAATTCAGCACATATCCATCAGATCAATCAGGGCCCATACCATAAGAGCTGTTAAAATCTTCAATATCATTCCTATGTAGTGGTGCTCTCGTTGTCACTAAGGTATGTAACATAAGGCCATTTGACCTCACACTAAATAACCCCACTTGCCTGAGCTTGAATTTCTCTTACAATGGCCATGCTGCAACTTCTCACCAATTGTGATCAGGATGACGCTCATACCTGAAGCTCTTTAGGTTTGTTGCTTCTAAGAATTATTTGCACGTGGTCAAAGGAAAGTTGGTTCACCCAAGGGAGCCAAAAGTAAAGGACCTATTGATAAATTCTTCTAACTTAGGAAGATGAGGTTTTGATGAACATTATAAGAATAAAGCCCCTTAGATTTTTCTCAATCTAACTGTGGAAAAAGTATGACAACATCCTACAGAATCACAAATTTTTTCAAGATGTTAGGACCTTAATAAGTCATCATATGGGGAGGTTTATGTATAGAAAGACTCAGAAGTGGCCTCAAAATTTCTATATAGGAGGACAATTGGGTTGGAAAAGGATATTAGGGGGCCTATGTTTAAGCAAGCACACTTTCATTTATGTAATACTTTTAGTTGGGATGGCCCCCATTCCACCACATCAATTCAAAGCGCGTTACTTCTCTAACGATCACTGAAGCCGTCCTTGGTATGTAACATTAACGCACGATCGTTGAATTAATTCACTCATTTTTTCTAATTTTCTGGGCAGGAGAAAGTCTGTAGTGTGTGTGTGTGTGTGTGTGTGTGTGTGTGTGTGTGTGTGTTTGTGTGTGGAGAGAGAGAGTAAAATATCACTTTTCAGGTATTTCTGACAACTAGTGCATCTATATAAACTTTTTAAGTTAATTAAAGCATCCCTATTTAAGAGTCAAATTCTTTTCTTCCTTTATTTGAAATGTGTGGACTAGTCTTACAATAACAATCTCTAAATGTAACTTGCTTCCAGGGAGACATACAAGTGAATCTGGCTAATAAAGTAGGAAGGAATATGCTTACAGTTTGATTGTTATGCCAAAGGGCATCTGGAGACTGGGTCACAGTGCCATACCCATCTGCTCAACAAGAAGGAAAATGAATTAGAAAGACAAAAAGTATTGAATTTTCACTGCAAACACCAAATATATTCACATTGCCTTCTGGTAATGAATGAAAAGTTGAATAATCATATAGCTAAATGCTGTAGGCTTGCAAGAGTTATACCAAGTTACTAACATTTATTAATTTAACCTGTAAGGTTGTGCTTCTTAAACAGTTTTGTCATGGACCCTTCCAAAATGAACCCTTTTTTTTCTCTCTGTGGAAAAAAATGCACGTACACAGAAAGTTTACCTACAATTTTAGAGGAGTCATAGTGGCCCATTATCAGAAGTAGGTTAAAAATTGCCACTTAAAGTTAATACTTTCATGACAGCTAAGAAGCTGCCAGTGAGGATGCTCAGAGGCCATTGCACATCCAAAGAGCAGAACCACCCCGTTCAAAATAGTTGTTACATTGGTTTTATATTCAAAATGTGTGTGAAATGTACTAAGATATCTGAAATAGGTGGCATCCAACTCCTACATTATATGCCACAGTGCCTAGACATTGTTGCAGAAGTGCTTTAGAAAATACGTTATATCAGCCCCAAGGCCAAAGTATCTTATACTACCTAAAACCCCAATATAAAAGGATATTATGCCTTAAAGTTTTGAATATCCAAATTTTAATAGTGTTTAAAATATCTCGTTTGTCATACAGAACATATACTGTTGGCCCTCCTAAGCAACTATAGGTCAAATACAGGTTTCTTTTTACTGACCACTTTACATCCTTATACCAATTTTTTAAACCCCATTTTATAGATGAGGAAACAGATCTGAAATGGTTAAAGTTTCCAACTCTAGTAAAAGACAATAGCCTCAGCTCATAACCACCACACACATTGCATTCCCATTCAGTGAAAATACTGCAGGTCTTACGAATTCCCTAACTATTGACAACGCTATAAAAATGTGACTGTCTGGGCTTCCCTGGTGGCGCAGTGGTTGAGAGTCCGCCTGCCGATGCAGGGGACACGGGTTCGTGCCCCGGTCCGAGAGGATCCCACATGCTGCAGAGCGGCTGGATCTGTGAGCCATGGCCGCTAAGCCTGCGCGTCCGGAGCCTGTGCTCCACAACGGGAGAGGCCACAACAGTGAGAGGCCCACATACCACAAAAAAAAAAAAAAAAAATGTTACTGTCCAGTGGCAATGAAACTGGACTAACTATATCCCCTCAAATTTTTACACTTTACATTACTGTGTCTACATTTTATTCATTCTGACACTACTTCTTAGAGAGCCAAAGACAATATCTACAGTCTAGGCTCTGTGTATGACTTGTGTTATAACCTTAAGTAAGTACTTCAGGTACAGAATGCGTGATGTTGCAAAAACAGCATAAAAAATAAATAAATAAAAACAACATGGACTTGGGTCAGATAAAACTTGACTTCAGTGCTGACAATGTCCCTTGGCAATATGACCTTGATCAGGTCCTTTGCATATACATTTATGTATGTATGTATGTATATATATATATTTATATTTCTAGCTGGGGTAACCTTGAACTACAAGCTGTTGATAGCACTTGTCTGTCTCATAAAGTTGTCACATTAGAAGATGCACTAAACACCATATTAGACAAATATCAGCTATTACTATTATGTTATAATGAAAGGAGCAATAGGGGGAGGAACACAGTGCAATGGACTTTCCAAACATCACGTCCTTCCTTCCTCACAAACACGCAAAATGAGGAATGCAACAACTGCCCATGGGCACGCAGCCAGTAACTGGCAGTTGAATTGGAAGCTATCAATCCCCAAAGCAGAACTAAAGAGCCTCCCCAGTCTGGCAATGGCAGTAAGGAAGGTCTGCCCTGAAAGAATTAAATGAGGTAATATATGACAGTTTGCTGGCACATCCATCTGTCAAAAGGTGGGTAGCAGGCCATATGATGCCCAAACTTCCTTCCAGATTAACATTCTTTGCTTTGTGAGGCTTTAACCCACGGAATTCTGACTGGGGCACTGTAAGGATTTGGCTGGAGAGCCTCACAGACACTGACAAGATGGCAGAAGTCACAGAAGTCATGGGGACACAGCTGCTCCAATGTCTGTTCCATTCTGGAAAGCTCTACCCTGATCAGGTTTTAGTGACATATTTTAGAGAACGATTCTCCACTCCTACTTTCTTCTTCCTCATCGCATAAAAGTGTGGGTTGCAGCTGCTCCTACTGCTGTTACTTTGTATTTTAATCTACTTTCACTTTGTTTCTGTGCCCGGAAACAGTTCACGCTAAGGAGTCCACTTTCAAAACCAAATGTCACCATGAGCTAATCCCAAGTGAATTGGTCCCTCTCTGAGTTTCCCTTTGGCTCCATTTTAAACTAGCCAGCTTGCAGGAATGACTGGCAAAAGGTAGGCCATACTGGGGGTCCACTACAGATTGGCAACTCCTGAGCACGATGAATCATGTGCACGGGGAGTCTTGCAAAGCTTCACCTTGTTTGGATGTATCACAGGCACAAGGACACATAAGCTAGCTCTGCATTACAAAGGGGTTCTGCATGTGGCACTCCCCAAATTTACCACCATAGGTAACAGAGGTAGCTGGTAAAGATGACAGGACTCAGCATCACCTTTCTCCATCACAGGAAAGACAGGTCAATCTTACATCTCAAAAGAATACGTACCTACCCAAATTGGGGAGAGTGGGGAAGACTTTTGTTAATTATTAATTAAACTAATATTTAATTCCTTGAGGTCCCTTTAAGGTGACAGTACTGTCCAATGTCTGAGTCTTGGTAATGAGCCCCAAAGCAATGTTCTTGGTACCTTGGCTCCTTCTGCAGTGGGGTGGAATAGCAGAATCTCAGCGGGGCATGCCTCTTTGGTGCCAGTGTCATGTGTCCTCAACCCATCTCAAAGTGTCCATGTGAAATGAAAACTTGACAAGGCAGAAGGGGAGCCTTCTGGCTCTACATAGCCTCTGGGTCTTAGAGGAAGCATAAACACAGGTGACCAGTTTGGTCCGGACCAGCGTAGTTTGGATTTAATTGTTTTAAGGCTCTGGCCCAAGGGAGTAAGCCCAATACTAAGTTTGAAGTCAAAGCTGGTTCATTTAATTTAGAAAAATACTGATATGCGTGTGGATGTTCCCAAATCATATAAGCTGTCTATGCCGCTCAGTTGTATGTATTTCTGGACATTCTAAGTAATAGTCATAATTGCCACTAAATCTATCACTTACCTTTTAACTGTGTCCCAAGATCTTTATCTCATTTAATCCTTGCAAGAATTCTACAAAATCAGTAACATTCCATCCATTTTACAAAGGATAAAAACTGATTCAAAGAGGGTAAGACGTTTGTTCAAGTCGCATAGCTGACTGGAGTAGCCAGTGTTGGCACTCAAGGCAGATCTGTCTTATTCCAGAATATGTGTTCTTAACAATGTGCCGATGTTCATCAAAATTTGAAAGCTCCCAGGTGTTCAGGAAAGAAACGGAAGTTACCTGTTGAGCAAGAGTGCGATGGGGAGCCAGTTATATTTGTTTCTTGCTGTGTGGTAGGCTGGGTTTCCACTCTCTGCGTAGGAGAAGATAAAGAAGCTACTGGAATGACAAGAATGGAAGACTGGTGTTCAATTTGTGGAGGAAAATTTCCACCCCCAAGAAAAATAAAAAACAAAACTACAATCAGGAGTTACCCTTTGACTTTCTTAGAAAATATTCAAGGATGGCCTTCAGGCAGTATACTGCCACATAGGTATTTCATTATCATGAATAAATCTGATCTAGAGAATGATCTGGAGAGCTTATCAGTAGACAGAATTATTTCACTTTTTATACTCCTAGGATCCCCCTGAAGCCTACAACAGTGCATCTTATGCAGGACACCCAATTAAACTTTTATTCATACTAATGACGTTGCACTTTTGTGGACCAGGGCCTTGAGGTGGGCACTAATCCACTCTCCCCGCTTCACAAGAACCCCAATCTGGTTTTCCTCACCTTATTCAAGTTCCTAATTATCCATCCGCACATCTTTCCAGGGAGATGCACACACTGACCAGCATGGAAAACATACTGAGAATATTTAATTCCTTGAGGTCCCTTTAAGGTGACAGTACTGTCCAATGTCTGAGTTTTGGTAATGAGCCTCAAAGCAATGTTCCTGGTACCTTGGTTCCTTTTGCAGTTGTGTTTTGGTCACTCTTTTTTTTTTTTTTTTTTTGTGATACGCAGGCCTCTCGCTGTTGTGGCCTTTCCCATTGCGGAGTACAGGCTCCGGACGCGCAGGCTCAGCGGCCATGGCTCACGGGCCCAGCCGCTCTGCCGCATGTGGGATCTTCCCGGACCGGGGCACGAACCCGTGTCCCCTGCATCGGCAGGCGGACCCTCAACCACTGCGCCACCAGGGAAGCCTCCGGTCACTCTTTTTATAAGACTGATTTCCTGTGTTATCTGATTCATCTTCCATTTCTCACCAAAAAGCTTCACCAAGAGTTCTCAGGGTTATGTTTCCTTTTCCTTTCTTGAAATCTCTTCTTTATTTTCTATCAGACATTTCACTTTACCTGCAGAGTTGACCACTTGCCTCTTAATAAGATCTTTACATCCCTTCCTCTTAGAGCACCACAGAAAATCAGAGCAAGTTAGTGGTGCTGGCTGGACAAGAGTTCCCAAACCTGGGCTTTCCTCATTGCCTCTCACTGGTCTTTCTATTTCCACTCCCTCACCATGGTCTTCACATTTCAACATCATCTCTTCTCTTGTTTTGAACTGTCTTTTGTTTTTGGTGGGGTTTGTTTGTTTGTTTTTGCTTTCCTCTAATGCTCAAATCTGTAACAGTATGTGGCTCTCTTTAGGAACTATAGGAATTAAGAACAGGATGAATCAGAAAGTCAGATGATCAGCGTCTTCAGTCAACTTAAATCCGTGCAAAAGACCTCTTGAGCTTAACTTCATCTGCTAGTTTGGGTCTTTGTGGTCATCTTTCTTTTCTCCTCTGCTCCTACAACTTTATATCCAACCAGTGCATGAATATTTTAGGCAACTAGCATGGACGGGGCACAGAGCACAGAGAGGGAATGGATGTAAAGATAAATTCCCCTGCCCTGGATCTGCTCCAGTGTTCACCTCCTTTCTATACTGTAAAGTTCAACTCTAAACTCAAACTCTTTAGGAAACTATCAGGATGCCTATAAGACTCAACTAATACTATCCCCCAGGAGGTCACATAAACCAACACTTTCCTTCTGAAACTCTGCTTTAAACAAAGGCCGTAACTTACACATGTTCACCAAACAAGGAGCACTAAGCCATCCGCCTCTGCAGGCACAAACTATTAAGAAGCTAACTCAATATTGAGAAAGTCAACAGATGCTCTAGTGTGTTCGCTGCCTGGAACAAAACTATTTTTCTTACAAAGTTTTATGGCTCTAAAATCCCAGTTTTAACCTAAAGACGTCTCTTTAAAACTCAGTTCAAAGTCCAATCCTTCAGATCCCTCCTGGTTGAATATAGACATGGTTCAACGGGAATGAAGGGAAATCGATATGTTCCATCAGACTTTTTCGGCTAAAAGGTTGTGATATTTGTGTTATTCCTCAGGATCCAGAGCCACTTTAAAGTGCCAAAGGGTTGTGGAGGCTTTGAGAACCTCCACTAAAAAGTTACATTTTTAATCCAAAAAATAGAAAGTTTGAACCTAAACATGTCCTCAGAATGCAAGCTATTTCCCCAGCTTTAAGTCAAATTATTCTCCACTTGTATTAACCTAAACTTTAATCTAACATAAAGTTGAACTATGAACTATGTAGCCAGAATTGAAAAAACAAACGTGTGCACTCTAAATCCCATAAGTCCTTAAATCTGATGTTTACTTTGTCATCAGCATAAATAGCATTACTCTGCTACATAAATAAATTAAAGGATGCCAGAAGCAAAACTGTGTAAGTCACTGACACCCTGAAAAGACAGGGTAATTGTATGAAGGCTTTTCCAGTGAGAATGCCAGATCAGGACAAATTCATCCAAACATAAGCTCTATGTTCATAATAGAAGGCAGCAAAGGCCCAACATTCAAATTAAAGGGGACAATCTTGACTCAACCATTTTCTATTCGTATGACTGTCAACACTGAACTTAGACTCTGTGCCTCGGTCCTCACAAATGTAAAATAGGATTGAATCACACCTACAAGGCATAGGATTGTCATAAGAATGAAGTGGCTTAATACTTGTAAAGCAGTTAGCACGGTTCTAGAGTAAACACGAACTTCACTGAAATCTTATCCTCAAGCGTTGGGTGAGACTTCAGAATGGATTAAATGATCTCTATTCAGAGCTCCTTGTAAGGACAGGATCTCATTCACCTGACCCTGTTCTGGCATTCCCTATTTTTCCTCATAAGTCTGTGTTCAACTGGGCCAAATCCCCACCATCCTCCTTAGATGTCCAAGATCAGTGGTCTGGCTTTTTTATTTCTTTTCTTTTTTTTTTTTTTTTTTTTGCTATTAATGAATTCCTTTGAGAATCTGATAAAAAGCTATAGGGTCTCCTCACTCTGAAGATGCTTATACATACAAAAGGTGAATATAACATGGGACGGAGGTTCACAGATTCTGTGAAGCTAGGTTTGGAAGCCTGTTCAAATCCTTACCCCAGACTGCACTTCTGCCTTAACACAACACCCTGGATGGTCTATATCCTCCCTTTTAAAGCCTTCTGGGCTCAGAAGCACATCTGTTTACCTGGCTGGAGGTTCTCTGTGGGTGCTGGCACTGGAAGAGCAGAGGTAGAGGCCCTCGTTGTTGTTGGAGCAGTGGTGACCATCATTGTTGGTAGAGCAGTAGTGGTCATCATTGGTGGTGGAGTAGTAGTACTGGTAGTTGGTGGTGGAGTAGTAGTAGTGGTAGTTGGTAGAGTAGTAATGGTGATCGTTGTTGTTGGAGTAGTATTAGTGGTGGTAGTTTGTGGTGGAGCAGTAGTGGTCGTCATTGGTGGTGGAGTAGTAGTGGTGGTAGTTGGTGGTGGAGTAGTAGTGGTGGTAGTTGGTGGAGTGGTAGTAGTAGTAGTCGTGGTAGTTGGTGGAGTAGTAGTAGTGGTGGTCATTGGTGGAGTAATAGTGGTCATTACTGTTGTGGTAGGTGGAGCTAGAAATCAACATGAAAGCAAGGATTCATCAAGCAGCAGGAAACAAGAGTCATGTGCTGGGCCTGTGCACCAACACAACCACTGGGACTGTGCCCAGGCAGAAGTGAGCACTTATCTCCCATGAACTCAGAGTTCTCCTCACTGGTCAACTAGAATATGTGACTGAGGAGGAGGTGAAGACATGTTCACAACAAGGAAACAGCTGCATTGAAAGGAGTATATATGGGGAGGTTTGGAGATAAAAAAATGACACCTGGGATTTGTATCGAAGCCCTTTGAAAAGACTAGTCCCGCATATCAGATTTATGTATCTTCATAAACGTCAGTGGGGTAGGGAAAAAAGTCTAGAGCCCGAAGCCGTGTTTGTCCTCAGTAACGTGTGACTAGGAACTAAATAGTAGTTCCCAAGAACCAGAATATTTACCAAACAAATAGCATTCCGTTCAGTCAGTCCTAAGGGTACCCTCCCAACAGACCTGCATCCTAAATGTGGATTAATTCACACCATTAACAAACGCTAGATAACACAGATGCCTTGTGCATTTGGTTTGAAGGTGGACTAGACCTTTTAAGGTTCCTTCCTTCCTAAGGGATAATAACAAAAGGTAATGACTTTGTCTCTTTCCAGAGTCAGAAATGGTATAGGACTCCAAACCACTTACTGAAGTCCTCAGAGCTACCCAGAGAAAGAACTGCAACTAGGATTAACCCAAAACACAGTGCCTGGCACAAAAGCAGAAATTGTAGGATTGAATCAAGAATGTGTACTTTTTTCTCACCAGGCATCTTTTTTGCCCACAAGAAGTATTCTTAAATTTCAACTCTACTAACTATAAATTAGAAGCTCAAATCTCTTGAATAGGAGACAATTGGTGTGAAAACTCTTTTGAGGGATTGACGTCAATTTAGTTTGGAAACTAACAAATTTTGCCTTAAAGAAGAAAAACGTTTTTTTCAACAAATATTTATGAGTGTCTATTATGTACAAGGCATTAGTAAATGTTTTAGGCTTTGGGGGTCCTGTGATCTCAGTGGTAATTGCTCAGCTCTGTCAGTGTGAAAACAGCCATAGACAGTATATAAACTAATGGGTGTGGCTGTGTTCCAATAAAACTTTATTTATAAAACTGTTGGTGAGCCTGTTTTATAATCTGATCTGGTCCTAGGGCTACAGTTTGCTGACCCTGCTCTAACAGTGTAGTTAGAGGTTTTTAAGAAGAGTGCAATCCAATCCCCTCCCTTCAGTTTGAAATCAAATCTAGAGAAAAAAGGAAGCAAGCAAAAAAGTCTGATCAAAGGCTATAAAAAGGAAGAAACCTAACTGGCTTGTTTAACTAATGTGTCTTCCTCAGTGGTAAGTATTTTCTGAGGAAGAATCTAGGAAACTAAGGGTAGAGGAGCTGCTGAGGAAGAGCCCTAACAGAAGGTTGAAAAGTAAGCTGATTCTGTGAAAAGTGCAAGAAAACTTAAGCAAAAAATTGGATTGGAGGCAGAGAGTCACTTTGGCTCAGTTACGGACCCGTTTCCCACTGGACAGAGCAGTGGCTTTGTAAATATTCATCTATTAAAGAATTTCTAAGCACTCTAAAAGTCCCCTACTGGGACCTCCCTGGTGCTGCAGTGGTTAAGAATCCGCCTGCCAATGCAGGGGACAAGGGTTCGAGCCCTGGTCTGGGAAGATCCCACATGCCGCCGAGCAACTAAGCCGGTGCGCTACAACTACTGAGCCTGCGCTCTAGAGCCTGAAAGCCACAACTACTGAGCCCGCAAGCCACAACTACTGAAGCCTGCGCGCCTAGAGCCCATGCTCCGCAACAAGAGAAGCCACCACAATGAGAAGCCCACGCACTGCAATGAAGAGCAGCCCCCGCTCTCTGCAACTAGAGAAAGCCCGTGCGCAGCAACGAAGACCCGACACAGCCAAAAATAAATAAATTAAAACAAAACAAAAAGAAACAAAAAAGTCCCATACTAATTTCTTTCTCTATCCTTTTTAAAAAATATTCAGCCAGACCAATCAGATAATTTCACAACTCCAAGAATAATCTCTTCTCCACACGTTGCCTCGTCACATGTCTACAGCTCCAGCCTCTTTTGGTGTCTTTAAATTGCCTCCTACATATAGGTTCCCCAGAATCAGCTATTTGCTGCATCAGAATTGACCTTATTTTACCTGCCTTTATAAAGGACACAAGCCAAGTACAAAAGTTGGGAGATTGCAATATCAAGTTCATTTAAATCAAAAAAGAGTCATAGCTTATGAAGGCCACAGGTATTGGATTCTGTTGTCAATAGAAGACTTTAGTGGGAGAAGGTTCATTAGGTAAGAGCATCAGAAACCAGGAAATCCTGAAGAACCTGCTCCTTTCATCAAATGGCAAGAAAAATTAGGATGTCTACATCAAGATGGAAAAATGTAAACTTCCCAGATTTTTGGATTTTATGAAATTCTTAAAAGCAACAGGTGAACGTTATTGAGATGCAAATGTTTTCATACTGCAATAAAGCCATTTTATTTTTTCAACAGTCAATTTAGTGATATGGTGTGAAATATGCTTCAAAAAATCCAAGACAGGACAGAGGGAGGGGGTGAAACTATATAGGCTTATACAATATATATGCAACAAGACTGAGTTGATGATTGTTAAAGCTGAATGATACATCTACTTGACAGGACCTTATATTACCTATTTTATATGTATGAATTCTCTATAAGTCTTAAAATGTTAAGACAGGACACTTGAGAATTCTTCTAAGACATAACCTCAGAGAAAATGGCAGTTCTTCAAGTGGAATAAATTTACCTCCATAAAAATGTTCACTATATTTCACTGTGGAACAGTGAATGCTTTTTCATGAACCAACTAGCATTTTTGAAGCACTGCTTTAGGAGATAGTCTGCTGACTGGGAAGATCTCTAGACTATGGTCTTGAATCAAGGTTAGTCTTTTTTTTTTTAATTAATTTATTTTTTATTTTATTTATTTTTGACTCTGTTGGGTCTTAACACTTCATTCTACACTAATAGAAGTTATCCTATTCCAAAAGTTATTAGAAAACAAGATTATAGGAACCTCCTCTTTCCCTAATAAAGGAAGACAGTTAATATCAAACAGAAAACTCTTATCTCTGGGAACCCACAGGAAGTAATTAAAGGAAGGAGGAAGACAAGCTCACCTGGCTTTATACTCAAGTCTAGGGTGATTTTTATATCATTGAACCACCCTTTCTTCTCAACACGGCAACAATACAAGCCACTGTCAGCCTGGGCTGCATTCTCTATGGTCAAAGACACATCCCCTTCACCAATGTTTCCGTTTAGCTTATAACGTTTGTCCTTCTGAAAGGTGACACTGTATCCATTAGTCCAGATAATGACACTTCCACAGCGAGTTAAAGGACATGCCCCTTGGCCCCAGCACATGCTCGTGACTTTTCCACCATAGGTGCAGGGTAGCCTGACAGACTGACCCTCCACTCCAGTCACTCGTGGGTAAGACGTTACACCATCTGTAAATAAAGAGAAACCTGAGCATGAGGTCTCAATATTTTAACTTTAATTTCATTCTCATTTTTTTTCTTTATATAGCTTATTTGGTTTGTAATCATCTGACTATATCTTGAGTTTTAAAATTTAGTATAAGCATTTTTCTATGTTAACATATTCTTTAGCAGCGTTACTATTTACTAGATATATTTGTAGATAAAACATCATATAAACGTTTTCCTGTATTCAAGATTATTTCCTAATAGGAAAAGATTTCCAAGAAAGAAAGTATCAGGATAAAGGGCAGGAATATATTCAGTCTCTTGGTGAATATGACCAAATTTCTTTCCAAAAGGTTTGAAACAAATGATACTCCAGTAATGCATGAGTGTGTGTGTACTTCATCCTGTGTTTGACAGGTATCTGCTTATTTAATAGGTAATACATACATGCGGCTTTTCCTCTCCCCTAGATTCAATCACTGTCTCAGTTGAAATCTGTTTTAAAAAGTCTATTGCATTTAAAGTTTTGATTTTCAATTTTTATTGCAATTTTAAAAATTGCTATTGCAAATAAAGTCACCTCACAACCCCTCTCTTATTTAAAAAAAAAAAAAAAGCAGAGCTAATGTTTTACTTAAAGCAGCATTGACTAGAAGGCAGAAGCCTAGTAAACTCTTTAGAAATCAGTTCTTAGAAAAAAGGGTTTATAATAGTTTCAGGAGGAACTGAGGCTTATCATGCTTTACGATCAATCCAAAAAATTTAAGCAGGGATCCTTTCTCGTGAGTTGATGACAGCCCTGCAATGCAGGTGGTAAGGTCCACTTACCCAGGTGAAACCAAAAAATCGGAGAATATTCGATCAAATACTAAATTTTGCCTCTTAAAAACAAATAGAAAGGAAAACTCTCTCCTGTGGCAGTGGCTTAAAAAACCCTGCATTGCCAAATGCAGTCTGGGTGGTCCTTGAAAGAAATCTGAAATTCAACAGTTAATCATAGTTAGGACTGAGCTGTGAGTTTGGGAAATGCTCTGGGAATAAAACACTCATTGTTACATAAATTAAGAGTCTATATTTTTCACTGTAATTCTGATAATATTTAATTTTGCTTAATGTCATTTTTGGACTACAAAGGTAATACAAGCTAATTATAAAAATTTAAGTTTTAGAAGTATAATTTTAAAATGTACTTTCCTCACATTCCCACCTCTAGAGATTGTTTTTAAAACTTAGGATATGTCTATTTCTAAAATTTTTCCCTATCTCACAGAATGTTTTGAATTAACATATTTTTCTTTTTAAATTTTTTTTTTGGCCACACCGGGAGGCATGTGGGATCTTAGTTCCCCAACTAGGGATCAAACCCTCGCCCCCTGCTTTGCAGTCACGGAATCTTAATCACTGGACTGCCAGGAAAGTTAAAATATTTTCTTTTTAAAAGAAATAGTTGCACATGGTTAAAAAAAATCAAACGGCACAAAATGGTACAATAAAGCACTCGTCTCCTTGCCACCCTATCCCCTTTTCTTCTTCCCGTCCCCTTCCACACCGTGATAACAACTGTTACTCTTTGCTACATACACTTGAGTAGTTCATGCATACACAACCATCTACCTACTCCTTTTTTTGGTTTCAACACAAATGGCAGCACATGTCATCCTGTACTGCATGGTGCCTTGTTCACCTACCCATAGATTTTGTAATTCTTAGCATTTATGCAATTTCTTTGGTTTAAGGTGTCAGCCTGGTTCTTTGGTCACTAGTTGACCCCATTACCTTCCAACAAACCCCAAGAACACCTACCCTCCCCCACCACACCCACACCCCCACACACACTCCCCCTTCCTCAGCACTTCCAAAGTACAGCCCACCTATTCACTTACCTGTCAGAAGGAGTATGAGGCCCAGGATGGCTACCCACGGATGCATGATGGTATCGGCCTGAAGGAAAGGCAGAGCACGCTGGTTGGTGTGCCCCCAAACCAGATGGTATCAGAACGAGTCTTAATTCTCAGATTGCAACTTCTCCTTTCACCCTGATGGGGGGAATCACATAAGACTACCTGCTGGAAACAAGACCATGCAAAGGCTTCAGGTCTGTTGGCTCCAGGTGACTGAGGGCTCTGCCCCTTCCAACAGAAAGGCAAAGGTGTGCTCTGAAGCAGTCCCCTCTTCCCCAGCTCCTTTCCTATACTTAGAGTCCAAACTGACTCCAGGTGCTGACAGAGGAGATAAGGGAGCAAACAGGAAGGAAACCAGAGGACGGCTTAGCCAAGGACACCAGAGCAAAGACCAGACTTCCCGTGGTAAAGGTGCACTTACCCTTTGCCTCGAAGATGAGAGTCAGCTGGCCTTCTGGCGAGGGCAGGGGACTTCCTTCCTGCTCTGTGGCCACAATGGCTAGTCTCCAGCCTCAGTCAAATTGTCAAGTGCCCACTGATATAAAAACGCACAACATGAGAGTTGTGAGTTTCAGTTTTCTTTGGGGACTTACTGAGGACCGTCTTTGGCCCAGGAGACTGCCTTTCAGAGAGTTCTGAGGAACCTCTCCCAAGAGACAGAGGTGGAGAGATAAGCATATATATGATTTTGGAGAAGTACAATCAGGCACACATCTCGGTAGAAGGTCGCCGCTGGTCACAAGGAACAGATATCTCAGTTCTAGTGCTTTTCTAAGTACGGGAAGATGAAAGACATTTGGATTCATAAAATTTTCTCCTGAAAACATCTAACTATCTGAAGGCCTGTTCAACCAGTTTTCCCAGAGCACAGAGTGCCATTCCTGATCACTGCCCTGAACTCCTTTCAGGGTGTATTGAACATCAGGGACTACAGTGGCTAGTGACTTAACTCTTATAGAATCAGATGGAGAGTGACACTGTATAGTTGGCAGTGCCCCCTCATGGTTATAAATTCAATCATTATTTGGGAGGCAATTCAGGACCATTTTATCCCACGGTGCTAAGAATAGTCTTTCCTCAGTCAGGCCAGGATTCTGTTGATCCTCAGTTTGCTGTTATTGGACTAGGCACGGCTAATAGTAGCTAAAAGTCTCTGGACCACCTGTCTTACTAGTCTGCTATGGTCCAGGCAAAGTTTCCCTCTTGTTGCTTCTTCCCATATCGAGAGTTACACTATTACAATCTTGAGATCATAAAGAAATATATATATGTGTGTGTCAGTCATTTCAAGTTGCCTAGTCATCATTTTTATCAGAGGCTCAGTCACACGTTTGGTAATGCAAGAAACAACAACCTTGTAAAATACGCAGAATACAAATAATATAGCTAGTAGCATTAATAGGGTCATAAGTAAATATTTAAGCCAAGCGCTTCCATTAGGTGCGGTCCAGTATATTCCCAGCTCATCTGACTCAGTCTCTCCTTACTAATCGCTATCTTAAAAGTAATGAAATATTGGTGTTGTTCATAAGACACCCGGCCTAATTTCCTAGTGTTATTAGGTTGATTATCCTTAGTTTAACTGTTCCCAATATAAGGGAGCTTTTAAACTTAAATGACTTAAATAGTCTGGTGATAGTCATATAAATCCACCCCATAACTGAAGGAGGGTCCCTCTTAATAAATGGGAAGTTATATTTTTTGACTGAAATTTAGCTTGTTCTTATTGAGCTTGAGTAACTGTAAAAGAAAATTCATATGTATAGCCATGGTCAGAGCAAGTACCGTTGATTGGCCAAGTGAGAGGGTCCCATCTAGTAATATCAATATAGCTCAAACAGAACTATAACTTCTTTCTTCTAAAATAAATTTCCTAAGGGTCATCCAATTAGAGCCTTGGAGAGGAGAAATTCACCAAGGTAACCCAGAAATATTGGATGTAGGTAATTGACCAGAAACCCAACAACTGGATTAATTTCTAAACTCTGTGTAGGATTTATGCCCATCATAGAAAAACATGGATTTAGGCAAAAGTCCAAGAAATTACTATAAAGAATTATAGTATATAATTATATTCATATTTCTATAATTTTAATTGTATGATATTATTATCTAATGTAATTATTATATTGAAAACATGATAAATAATCATATGGGTCAGGTCTGGCATCTAGGAAGAGCCATCTACTTCTGATGTTGTCTTCTTCTTGTCTTGGTGTGAGTGCAGTTTCTCCTCTGTTTGAGCATTGTTTTAAGGTGAGTTTGAGGTCAGCAGTTCTCTCTATAGGCCAGTCCAGTGCAGGGGCCCTTTCTAAGTGGAAAATATGAATCCAAGAGTCAATTTCCTTCAGTCTTTCTGTGCATGAGCTAGTTAAGAGTACCTGATAAGGGTCCTTCCATCTAGGTTGGAGATAATCCTTTAAATGATGCCTTTTCCAATATGCATAATCTTCTGGTTATAGTTCATGGGGCATCTGATCTTCATCCAAATATAGATTACTGTGATAAGCTTCAGAAACAAACTTAGAGTGTCCTTTTAATAATTCAGTTAAACTTTACAATAATGTAACCTTAACAACAGGGGGCTATCTGGTAAGTGAGTCTTAGGCAGTAAATACAGACCTCAATTAACAACACTAGAATTTAATATCCACTGAAACATAATTTTTCCCTCTAAAATTACCCTGATTTCTATCAAATATAGCCAAATTAAGAGTAATTTGTTGGCAAAAATAAGTCTGGTTTCAATAAACTTGGCCTGATTATTTACATAAGTGTAACTGATCATACGGGCTCTTTTTTAAAATTGGCTTTGCTGGAACTTTTTATAAAGAATCTCAGATTGAATTTTTTAAAGGCTTCTCAAGGCCAGAAAAGCCATCCCATGGGCTTGCCATCAGATCCCACCTACAATATCTACAGATTTGGGTGAATTCCTCTCTTCTCAAGGTCCCAAAATATCTTCAGATTCCTGCATCTATCAGGAGGTGGCCTCCCTTATTCACTTGATAAGGCTGCTAGTAACATAAGGGTTTACAGTTTTGGAGGAATCAGGTAGAAAGAAAAGATAAATGTTTCAGTTCTGCTTACGAAGGTATCATTTACCAAATTACTGTAAGTCATAATTAGCTTAAAGGGAAAGGTTTCCTTATATCTGGAAAACAGATTAAAAAGCAGTAATATTTCAGAACAAAAAAGGCAGTAGTATTTCAGAAAAAAAATTATAACCATATTGATCAGTTCACTGAGTCCTATGTAATTTTCGATCTTTTGTTAACAGTTTTATGAAGAGTTTTACAAGCCTGTGCTTGTCAAAAGTCCTTTCTATGAATTTTCTTTAAGATGAAACATTTTTGCAAAGACATCAGAATCAAACAATAACTGTCTATGAATGACAAAGATTTTAAAAGGCATGGTTAAAGATCTGATTGCAAAAACTACGATGAGATATCACCTCACACCAGTCAAAATGGCTATCATCAAAAAATCCACAAACACCAAATGCTGGAGAGGGTGTGGAGAGACGGGAACCCTCCTACACTGTTGGTGTGAATGTAAGTTGGTACAGCCACCATGCAGAACAGTATGGAGGTTCCTTAAAAAACTAAAAATACAGCTACCATATGACCCTACAATCCCACTCTTGGGCATATATCCGGAGAAAAACATGGTCCGAAAGGATACATGCACCCCCAATGTTCATTGCAGCACTGTTTACAATAGTAAAGACATGGAAGCAACCTAAACGTCCACTGACAGAGGAATGGATAAAGAAGATGTGGTACATACATACAATGGAATATTACTCAGCCATTAAAAAGAACGAAATAGTGCCATTTGCAGCAACATGGATGGACCTAGAGATTGTCATACTGAGTGAGGTAAGTCAGACAGAGAAAGAGAAATATCATATGATATTGCTTTATATGCAACTCTAAAAAGAAATGATACAAATGAAAGTATTTACAAAACAGAAACAAACTCAGACATAGAGAACAAACTTATGGTTACCTGGGAGAAGGGTGGAGGGAAGGGATAGTTAGGGAGTTAGGGATTGACATGTACACACCGCTATATTTAAAAAGGATAACCAACAAGGACCTACTGTATAGCACAAGGAACTCTGCTCAATGTTATGTGGCAGCCTGGAGGGGAGTTTGGGGGAGAATGGATACACGTATATGTATGGCTGAGTTGCTTTGCTGTGCATCTGAAACTACCACAACATTGTTAATTGGCTATACTCCGATATAAAATAAAAAGTTAAAAAAAAAAAGAGCTGATAGTGATGCAATTGGCAAAGAAATTTGTTTCATAACATTTTAAGATAATAATCAATTATGACTGATAACATTTTACTAAGACATACCAGGTTTTTAGGAATTCCAATAATTTCTAGAATATCTATATTAATAACATTTCCCCCTAAAATATATCCTAAGAATGTTTATCACAATTCATTTGAAATGCTTTCCATGTAATTTAACATACCAAATAAGCCTAATTAGTTTAATATTTCTCTGTTAAGGAGAGAAAACAATTCCCTTGAGGTATTCCAGGGCCTTTTGGAAGACCTCAAAGTTAGCTAGAGGTCAAATATAAACTTCAATTAGAATGTGATCTTTGGGAAGTTTGCCAAAAATATCAAAAGACTTTAAAACACTTGGCATCATAGGTCACTGTGAAACAATACTCATTCACTTAATCAAGAGACAATAAAAGATTTCAAAGGCAAATACAGAAAGTTATTACAAATTACTTAAAACATAAAGAAAATTTACAATCTGTTATAAAAAGCAGATCAATATTCTAAGAAAACACTCCCCTCTTAATACAGAAAAAAACAAAATCAGGTTTTGTACCATTTTACCTTTAATACTGAAATTCATTTGCTCAGTTAAATTTATTCTAATCTTAGTTCTGACCATACAAAAAAATTCCCCTCTAAAGTTTCTTATTTTTTCTCTCAAACCTTCTAAAATTTTCTATACCCATATTAATTTGTCTCCTCTTTCCCATTTAGAAATAATTAGCATTAGGACAAAATTATTTTCTTTTTCCTTAAAATACATTTCTATTTCTTACACCTTCTTTTTTCTTGCATACAAAGATGTTTTCCATATTAACTTAGTAGTCAATTACATATATTAATTAGAATTCTCAACTTTTAAAAACCTTAATTTCTAGTGAAAACTAAGAAGTAAGCAATTATAAACTGTCTTTTACATTAGCATTCTATAGATTGGCAAACTTTAAATACTACTTATAATTTCTAAGAAACGTGATTTCTTAAAGAAAATGTCTCCAAATGTATGTGGCACCAAATATGTTTATTAATAGTCCTAAATATCTTTAATTTCTCTGCAAAATGATGCCTATGTTCAGTAATTAATGTTCCAGTTACCTTATTTTATTTGGGAAGGACAGCAATATTTAATAAATTTCCATCATTTAACTTATTTTAGCAAAATTCTAAAGTTTCAAGTTACCAAATATCTAGAGAGACTATTTTCAAGTAGACATTCCTAAAACATAATTATTTCTAAAGAGTTTACCTAAAAGTTCTTATCTCACTTACATTTAATAGACTTATAAAAAATTTCATCATACCAAGTTATTTTTCTTGCTGACAGATATAAGAACTTATTCTAGTAAATCTAGGTACAATAAAAGTATTATATTTATGTTGATGGCTCTAAAGACATGTCTATATTAATTAAACCAACAAGCTCTAACTTTTATACCAAATATTAATTTAATACTGAATATTTCCCAGTTCACATGAACCTAAAATTCATCTGGGCTAGTTTATTATATATTTCTGAGAATTTATATAAGGACTTAATTTCCTTTAAGTCAATTAAATAGAGCTCATTTCCAAATTAGTTTTGGTAATACTCTCCAGAGGTAGAGACCTATCATATCTATAAGGCACACACAGACATGTAGCTTCATCTTAAAAACTTAGTTACAAATCAGTTATTACAATATAAAACTCACTAGTTTTTAAATAACAGTTGGAATAAGTTGTTTACTTGCTGGTATTTTAAAAAGCCTTTCCCCCTTTTTTCTCAGTTTCAGGAATTGAAGATGGTCTAGATAAGATAATGGATCCTGAGAGCCCTGCTAGAACATTTACATCTCAAGTCACAGGGAGAGAAATGCAAGGTTCTCCTAGAAGGACTTGTTCCCTTAGAGTCAGAATTCTTTAAAGATGTAGGCTGACATTCTGAAGACCCTATTTTAGGAAAGCCCTTAGGCCAGCTTCCCACCTAATCACCCAGTCCAGACTGCTCCAGTCTCTTTCAACCAAAGTCCTCCAATATCTTTCAACTGGGTGGGGGTGGGGACAGTTAGGGGCAGGTACTTATTATACACCACCAAATAAAACTCAGGATCATCCACCGATTATCAGGAGATCTGAGAACCAGAAAGGCCTACTCAAATTCATCTGGAGACGCTGAGGAGGCAGACAGACAGAAGGGCAATGGGTCCTGCTGGTACCAAGGGCTCTGGGTCCTAAGTGCAGGCAAAGGACAGAAGTCTGCTCTGCCTCCCTTCATGGTCCTCAAAACTGTCAACGGAAACAAAAATGTACAATGTGCCCGTGAGTTTCTGTTTTATTTGGGGACTTAATGAGGACCAGGAGACAAGCCTCTCAGAGAGCTCTGAGGAACTGCTCCAAAGAGGTGGCCTTGGGGGGAGGGGAGGTCGGCATGTTTGTGATTTTGGAGCGGTGCAGTCAAGCACACATCTCGGTAGAAGGTTGCTAGTCACAAGGAACAGCTATTTCAGTTAATGATTTTAGTGCTTTTCTAAGGTCGGAAAGATGAAAAAATTTTGGATTCATAAAATTTTCTCTTAAAGATATCTATCTGAAGGCCTGTTCTGCCAGTCTCCACAAAGCATAGAGTGCCTCATTCCTGATCTCTGCTCCAAACTCCTTTCAGGGTGTGTTGAAGGTCAGCGACTGTAGTGGCTACTGACTCAATTCTTGTAGAGCCAGGTGGGGAGCGACATTCTTTAGATGACACAAGAATTGAGCAAAAATGCAAATCATTATACCTCACCATTCATGCTACAGGATGCAATGTCGCAGACCACATCTTACTGAGTGATATCAGGAGAATGTTTCAGGAAGCAGAGTGTGGACTAGACTTGGGTTCAGATCCCAGCTCTGCCACTTACAAAGCTGGGTATCCCTGTGAGTTATGGAGTTCCTCCAAGCCTTGATTTCTTCCTTTGGAAAATAGCACTAAAAATACTTGCTCTATCTCCCTCAGAGACTTTTCTTTATGAGCAAAAGGGCTGTGGGAGAACTTAAACTAAACTTAAATATGCACTGATATTAACTAAGGTTTTTGGAGAATATACTGTGTAGCAGCCTCTGTGTCAAGCACCCACATGAATTTAATCTTCACAGAACCCCTTAGGCAGGTGCTGTTACTAACCCCATTCATGGAAGAGGAAGCTGAGGCTTCCAGAGGTTAAATGAGCCTAGATTCCAGATGAGGGCTTCTGACTTTTGCTCTTAATCATTAAACCATACAAACAAGTATAAGCTTGGCTAGTGTTTCATTAACTCTCCTTCTGGTCTAAAGATTCACTAATTTCCTCTCAGGGAGGCACTGGTGCTCCGTTTCTAGGCTTCTCGCAGCTCATGACAGGCTTCCTGGAGAAGCTGACGATGGCCTTGGCATCCTGTGGTCATGGGTCCTGTACTGCCCAGAAACATGAACCCTGCTCTCTAGCAGCCTCTGAACTCGGAAGAGGCCTAAAGCCTGATGCTGTAAACTGGAGGCCCAAAGACTATATCTGGCCTGCAGAAGTACTTTGTACACAGTGTTTAAAATTTTATTTCTTAACTAATAGCCAAAATTAAAAATCCAGAGAGCTCACGTGAGAACTCAGCTTTTTGTGTTTTGTGAAATAAAATGAGATGTCAGGGCTTCCCTGGTGGCGCAGTGGTTGAGAGTCCGCCTGCCGAGGCAGGGAACACGGGTTCGTGCCCCGGTCCGGGAAGATCCCATATGCCATGGAGCGGCTAGGCCCGTGAGCCATGGCTGCTGAGCCTGTGTGTCCGGAGCCTGTGCTGCGCAACAGGAGAGGCCACAACAGTGAGAGGCCCGCGTACCGCAAAAAAAAAAAAAAAAAAAGATGGCAACACGCGGCCTGTACCACACTTTCACCTTAGCGCATGCCCTCTCCAGCTTGCCCCTGCACCAGCCCTGCCTGGGGGTGCTTCAGTCTCTGAAGAAGGCCTTGGTTGGAGGAGGCCCCTGCCTTAGACCTTCCTCCACCTACTTGAATACAAGGCCCCTCCTGTTGCTGGGCCTTCACACAGGCTGTCCCCTGAACTATTTGCTGAAAATCACCTCTTTCATAAAACCAAGAGGTATGACCATATGTCTTTAATAGGCCTCCTAGCTTTACGATGCCATGCACTTGAATTCACCTAGGTAACAAGAGG